TCTTCGATTGCTAACACGTTTCAAAAATTTATAACCACGTTACATTGTATAAAGTCTTCTACCTTCAAAAGTGTCTCGTTCAAAGTTTCCTGAATAAAGTTATTTAACTTGCGTTCATAGAGGAAAGTAACATCGTAGAAATAAAGTCTTCTTCTACCTTCAAAAGTGTCTCGCTCCAAAGTTTCCTGAATAAAGTTATTTAACTTGCGTTCATAGAGAAAAATAACATCGTAGAAATAAACTCTTCTACCTTCAAAAATCTCTCGCACCAAAGTTTCCTAAATAAAGTTATTCAACTTGCGTTCACAGAGGAAAATAACAACGTAGAAATAAAGTCTTCTTCCACCTTCAAAAGTCCCTCGTTCCAAAGTTTCGCGAATAAAGTTATTTAACTTGCGTTCATAGAGAAAAATAACATCGTAGAAATAAACTCTTCTACCTTCAAAAATCTCTCGCACCAAAGTTTCCTAAATAAAGTTATTCAACTTGCGTTCACAGAGGAAAATAACAACGTAGAAATAAAGTCTTCTTCCACCTTCAAAAGTCCCTCGTTCCAAAGTTTCGCGAATAAAATTATTTAACTTGCGTCCATAGAGAAAAATAACATCGTAGAATTGAAGTCTTCTACCTTCAAAAGTCTCTCGCACCAAAGTTTCCTAAATAAAGTTATTCAACTTGCGTTCACAGAGGAAAATAACAACGTAGAAATAAAGTCTTCTTCCACCTTCAAAAGTCCCTCGTTCCAAAGTTTCGCGAATAAAGTTATTTAACTTGCGTTCATAGAGAAAAATAACATCGTAGAAATAAAGTTTTCTTCCACCTTCAAAAGTCTCCCGTTCCAAAGTTTCGAATAAAGTTATTTAACTTACATAGAGGAAAATAACACCGTAAAAATAAAGTCTTCCACCTTCAAAAGTCCCTCGTTCCAAAATTTGGAATAAAGTTATTTAACTGACAAAGAGGAAAATAACACAGAACGAAAGTAGTCGGTCACCATTTTCTAGTAACCCGTTACAATGGCGAGGCAGATTCTCAGGAGAGTTTTCTTCGTGTAATTAACGTCGTGCAGGGTGTACAATGCGGAAGGTAGACAATTAACTAGGCCAGGATCCTTCGGAAGGTACCATTAAAAACGACTATTCTACCGTAAAACGTACAATAAACCCCATTGAACAACGCCGGTGATACTTAAAACGTGCTAATTGATCACGAACATTGGTTCTCATTGAAATCCATCGTTGGTAAATTCTCCGTGAAAGTCATAAGGTAATTTTACTTCCTAGACAAACCGGTCCTCGTGATTTTTCTTTATTCTTCCATTTACGAACTGCATTCTACGTTCGACCGAGTGCAAACAACATTATTATTAAACTCTGTTACTGTTAACTTTATGCCTGCAATATTACATAGCCTATCAATTAGCGGTGCATAAACTTGAACGACCATTTTTATTAACTCGTTACACTTTTATAGGTCATTTCGTTTCTGTTATATTTCCTTAGGCAGTTTCGTCGATGAGATTCGTATTATCGAATTTCAAGGATAGTAACCTTCTTCTTTTATTACTATTTGCTTGATACTTTATCAGTTTCCAGCGAATCCATTTCCTTTCCATAATGATGAATTAACCGCAAAATGGCGGTCCGGTCTTCATATTTCATTTAGAACTTGTTAATGCGGTCTCGTTTTATGGCAGCAATACTAAATATTAATGCAATTACCGTCTGATATAAGAAATTTTTATTTATGGACCCGATAGCTTGAAATCGCAGAGATTCAGGAAATTATTTACTTCGAGAATTATGGGTTTCGTAGAACTTTGATGAACTCTGCTCCAGTCCGTCAGTTGCATAATCCTAATTCCACGTGGAACAATTTATCATCGTTTCGTTGAAGCAGTCGGCAATTAAATACGAATTAAATTTTACCGAATCCGTTAACGAGCGATAGGATCACAAACGAACGATTGTCCACTCGGTCGAAGTTTATGTTCCGAGAATAAAAAGCAAAGTCGACGGAAGTCTTTAATCTATAACATAACGCGTCCCTGCCAGAAAGAAAGGTTTCGCGAGGAGGAGTTCAAGGCGCGCATTGTCCGTGTTCATCTGGCGAAACTCCGGTGTCAAGGGCGACAGTGCTTTAAACCAAAGGATATTAAATTAATTACCGAACCGTATCCTCTCTTACTATCTCGAGAACGCATTTCGCATTGTAATTGAAACGTAAACCGGATTGCATCATGCTTACGTAACGATAGCATGCATGGAAGGATAATTCTGCACGTTATATTTAATTAACATTTAAAAAGGTACACTTATGCGCGAGCTGTCGTTAAGACTAGGATTTGTTGAAGTTTCAAATTCATTCTTGCATTTCCGTTGTTCAATAAATACTTGTCCCCCTTCGTATCCGTTTAAGCCTTTCTATAAAAACTTTCCTAATTGGAGCAGCTGCTTCATTAAGCCAAAGTTTCTGACCCAATGTGTTTCAATTAACTTGTATACACTTCGTCATCGTGAATGACTTCATAACGCGAATATAACTGTGCCTTCGAAATCTCACATTTTTTTATCTGTCTTGAATTGACTCCAATTTATCGGAGTTTTATTAATTACAATTACAATATTCACTTGTATAAAATGTTGTATTATTTACTGTAGCAATATTCACTTGTACAAAATGTTGTAGAATTTACAATAATAATATTGACTTGTACAAAATGTTGTAGTATTTACTATAATAATATTGACTTGTACAAAAAGTTGTAATATTTACTATAACAATATTGACTTGTACAAAAAGTTGTAGTATTTACTATAACAATATTGACTTGTACAAAAAGTTGTAGTATTTACTATAACAATATTGACTTGTACAAAAAGTTGTAGTATTTACTATAACAATATTGACTTGTACAAAAAGTTGTAGTATTTACTATAACAATATTGACTTGTACAAAAAGTTGTAGTATTTACTATAACAATATTGACTTGTACAAAAAGTTGTAGTATTTACTATAACAATATTGACTTGTACAAAAAGTTGTAGTATTTACTATAACAATATTGACTTGTACAAAATGTTGTAGTATTTACTATAATAATATTGACTTATACAAAATGTTGTATTATTTACAATAGCAATATTGATTTGTACAAAAACTAATATTCTGTACTTTTTACATAAAATACAATCGCTAATGTATATGAAAAATTGAGCATCTACGACTAGGTAGTTTAATGCCTTAACAAATTTGGAAATTTACAAAGGTACAAATTTGAACATTATTTAATCTGCGATGTAGCAATGTAAAAACTTCATGAATACTGAAATTGCGAATTTGCGAACCTGAAAATGTGCGAATTAGCAAGAACATGTGTAAATCATCGAAATTAAAAATTTGGAAGTAGAAAATGTGGGAGCTCGAAGCTTGAAAGAGTGAAGATGCGGAAGAAGAATTAAAAATTTGGAAGTAGAAAATCCGAAAGCTCGAAACTTGAAAGAGTGAAGATTTGGAAGAAGAGTTAAAAATTTGAAAGTGGAAAATCCGAGAGTTCGAAATTTGAAAGAGTGAAGATTTGAAAGTAGAAAATCTGAGAACTCGAAACTTGAAAGAGTGAAAATTTGGAAGTAGAAAATCCGAGAGTTCGAAACTTGAAAGAGTGAAGATTTGGAAGAAGAATTAAAAATTTGGAAGTAGAAAATCCGAGAGTTCGAAACTTGAAAGAGTGAAGATTTGGAAGAAGAATTAAAAATTTGGAAGTAGAAAATCCGAGAGTTCGAAACTTGAAAGAGTGAAGATTTGGAAGAAGAATTAAAAATTTGGAAGTAGAAAATCCGAGAGTTCGAAACTTGAAAGAGTGAAGATTTGGAAGAAGAATTAAAAATTTGGAAGTAGAAAATCCGAGAGTTCGAAACTTGAAAGAGTGAAGATTTGGAAGAAGAATTAAAAATTTGGAAGTAGAAAATCCGAGAGTTCGAAACTTGAAAGAGTGAAGATTTGGAAGAAGAATTAAAAATTTGGAAGTAGAAAATCCGAGAGTTCGAAACTTGAAAGAGTGAAGATTTGGAAGAAGAATTAAAAATTTGGAAGTAGAAAATCCGAGAGTTCGAAACTTGAAAGAGTGAAGATTTGGAAGAAGAATTAAAAATTTGGAAGTAGAAAATCCGAGAGTTCGAAACTTGAAAGAGTGAAGATTTGGAAGAAGAATTAAAAATTTGGAAGTAGAAAATCCGAGAGCTCGAAGCTTGAAAGAGTGAAGATTTGGAAGTAGAAAATCCGAGAGCTCGAAGCTTGAAAGAGTGAAGATTTGGAAGTAGAAAATCCGAGAGCTCGAAGCTTGAAAGAGTGAAGATTTGGAAGTAGAAAATCCGAGAGCTCGAAGCTTGAAAGAGTGAAGATTTGGAAGTAGAAAATCCGAGAGCTCGAAGCTTGAAAGAGTGAAGATTTGGAAGTAGAAAATCCGAGAGCTCGAAGCTTGAAAGAGTGAAGATTTGGAAGTAGAAAATCCGAGAGCTCGAAGCTTGAAAGAGTGAAGATTTGGAAGTAGAAAATCCGAGAGCTCGAAGCTTGAAAGAGTGAAGATTTGGAAGTAGAAAATCCGAGAGCTCGAAGCTTGAAAGAGTGAAGATTTGGAAGTAGAAAATCCGAGAGCTCGAAGCTTGAAAGAGTGAAGATTTGAAAGTAGAAAATCTGAGAACTCGAAGCTTGAAAGAGTGAAGATTTGGAAGTAGAAAATCCGAGAGCTGGAAGCTTGAAAGAGCGAAGATTTGAAAGAAGACTAAAAAATTTGAAAGTGTTGTGAATAGAAATGGAAAGGAAGTATTCGTAAAGGATAAAAGCGACGACGTCCAAGAATCGTCACGGGGCACGAGTTCAGGACAATTCGAGTATACGCACGGTCATAGGAAGTAGGATGGTCGCCGGAAGTCTCTCCCCCGAAACTACTCTACTCTACTACATACTATGGTGGGGTTTCTAAAGACACGTTCGTTTGCACTCTCCCGTTTCCTCTTGGCTTGTCCAGTGAAAAGAGCATAACAGTTTACAAGTGGCAGCCAGCACTTAACCACGCGATGAGGGACAAGAAACTAGCTACGCGCGTGATACCCGCTCGCGGATTAAACTGGAGCGAGTTCGCTTCCCTCTTCGCTCGTTACATCTAATTTCTGTTATTGATCATCCTTCTTTTTCTTCCTGTTATCGTCGTTGTGCTCTGAAACACGCGCGAGTGATGTGACAAATAAATAATTAAACATTTATCCTTTTACTTTACAAATCTACGATTAGTGCTCTGGATGAAATTTGGTATGTTTAACACGTTGAATGTCCCTGTAGACTTATGATTATTTTAACTTTTATTTCTCTGTTTAAACTTTCTTGCGAGTACTCTTGACGTCTTATAATTTATACGTCTTCTGTCAGAATACCTTGTAATTTGTACATTCTTATCGGACTCTAATTGTAATTCACTTTTGTCAATCTTGCAGTCGATAACCTCTAAACATACAGCGAAGAAAAGATGTTTTATTAAAATTTAAATTAAAAGATTACAGTTTGCATTAAAATATCATGTTTATATCTCGATACAGTTATCACATGGGTGTGTCTATTTTTGATTCGCTGTATCCGTTCGACATCTTCGAATCAGTCATTTATTTCTCATCTAGTTAAAATAAGTTCGTACAGTACATTCAGCGTGTTAATGGACAGAGAATCGGAGGTATTTCTTTCGGAATTGATTCAAGCATGGAGCAGAGAACGGTGAAAGTCGTGCAAACTCGCGTCCGCAATACGCGTAATTGGTCTCTCTTGTGTTCTATGTTTGGTGCACGCAGCTTGTAAACGCGCGAATATTTTATGGATTTCTCAATGGATCAACTTCTATGGGTCGAGAATGGAACACCAAGTATCAAATCGTAATAACTACCATTCTGCTCAATCTTCGCAAACTGCAACTGCAAATGCAAGTTTGTTACCCATTTAATCGCAAAATTTAAGTACTTGAACAGTGAATCCTAGATAATTGACACTGCCTCACAATACTCTTTCAAATAAAAATATCTGACTTCCAAAAATATTACACTTCAAATATTATTAAGTCCATAAAGACCTCTCTGCTCCATAAGCCGAGTAGCAAATAAAGAATTTTCTCGGTTGCACTTTATTTGTTCGAAGCCAGGTGTCATTCAGAGTGAGCAAGATTGACATTCACCTTATCCCGAAAGAAAATAGAAAGGAAAAAGTAAAATGTTCGCGTGATAAGCTAGCACTTTCGTGATACTGTTACGTGGCCAGTGCTCTCTGGATAGAAAAAAGAAGCTACGAATGGAAAGTGATACGGAGCCGTCTTCTATTCGCCGACATTGCGGTCTGCGAAGGAAGTGCACGCGTTTCACCTGTTGATATCCAGTGTGAACCATAGGCACGTCGTTTCAGTCGCGTGCCGGCTCGTGAACAGAACAAAAACGCGTATCAACGACGATCGTTCGCGGTAATTTACGCTTCTTCGAGTGCAATTTGTCGCTATCGAGGCGAAACGTGTCGGACTATAACGGTGAGAAACCGTAAACGATCACGAACCGTAGGTAATCATCGTGTACGTTGCTCTGTACGATTCAGCGTTCGTTTCTGTACAAATAGTTTCTGCCGCTCGTTAGAAACGTGCTTTCCAATCAGTTCGGACGCGGTACGGTTTTGTTACTGTGCGTCTAACGGAAAAGTTTATTTCTGATCAAAAACGCATCCGAGTATTCCACGCCGCTGGATCTACCGGCAACTCAACATTTCCTCTTTTATACTGTCGGGAATTCTTGAAATGTTACGCAGACACGAGAAAAAGAACTGCAAATAACTGAAAATAAAAAACTGAATTGATAAAAAGTTCGGAATGCAAGATGTAAGATGTTCTCTACGTAAATGTATTTTCAACTTGGTATCAGAGTACAAAGTCTTAGAAAGATTTTGTAGAATAAGACTTTCACTTTCAACCAAAAATCGGCAGATAATCGATCGCTTATAATTAAAAATAATGCCCGTTGTTATCAAAATGGGTCACTGAAGAGTACAAGCAGTACCGAGAAGCGTAATAACGATATATCGCCGAACTAATCTCAGATAATTAAAATGAATCTCTACTGCAAAAGCGCATCCCAAAATAATTTTCCTTCGCCTCAGAGGAGATATAAAATGCCCAGACATAAGTGAACGAAACCGTATATCTGCATACTCATTTTCTAGTTCAGGTCTCTGAGAAATTAGTCAGAGATCTTGTGCACATTCAGAAAGGCACGTTTCCTGTAGCTTGAATCTCGATCAAAAGCAACGCTGTTCGTCACCGGAAGCGTCTGCAGATTCATCGGTCTTCTTCGAATGACCAGGAAAAAAGGAGGCCACACCGCGAGCATCCTCTGCTAGGCGGACTAACGAGAATTCGTATCTCTTCCGGTCAGTTCGTTTCTTCGAAAATGTCCATTAACGCGTGACATGCCATCGACGCGAGGCGAATCATGCAGTAACAAGGACTGTTACTGCGTGATCTGTCGCGAGCTGAAGGATTACAAGATGGCCGGAAACGCGGAGAGTCCTCAGGTTCGTCGCGAGGGCATCAACTTCATCCTCCGTCGCGGTTTGCCCTTCGTGAACAGATCGCCGTCGAAGGAATGGCTGGAGACCGATTTGAAGCGCGACGAGAGGGAAGACATCACGTTGGAGGAGAAGAGTCACCCACCGGAAGTGGACAGGGCGATGACGCCAGTCGGCAACGTCAGAAGAACCGACAAAGACGTGGCTCATAAAACTGTCATCTACTTCGGGGACTCGAATCAGAGACAGAAGGAGAACAGGCTGAGAGACGCTTGCTCGAAGGAGGAGATGGAGAAAACCGAGGCGGATGGCGCAGAAGATGACGCGATGTGCAAGAGACAACGCTCGATGGCGAATCTGCTGGAAAACGAGGACGCCAAGGTCACTCACGAAATCGTGGTGAACGTTACTCCGAGCAGAGAGGACGTGTTGAAGATCGAAGAGGACGAGAGCCAGGTCGAGGATTATTGGTCCTTGCCCGGGGACAACAGCGGGTTCAAGGCTGACTGGAGCTTCGTTCAGCAATGGCGCCTGAGGGGGTAAATCATGCTTGTGTTTGTTCCTTGTGACGATGAGTAACGAGCGTTACGGGGACCGTGGATTGTTCAGGGTCCCTTTGACCGCGAGATCCTTAACGGTTTTTGAGAAAACTCGCGTGGGATGCGGGAAGTGCATCGAGTAGCTTGTGTCGTAACAAAAGGACGTAGGGTCTGTAAGGGAGGAAAATGATAGGCTCACATTTGTTACCTTCTGCGCCGAATTGCATCAAATTACATCGAAGCGCATGGAATCCTATTTGACTTATTTGATGAAAAAATAATTAGAAGTAAATGAACCCTTTGGATATACCTTTTAAAACTAGATCAAGTTTCTGTTCTGCTAATTTGATCCAAATCTTCTTAATCATTTCACAACCCTTACACAAACGTTTCCTGGATTAGATAAAAATTTCTAATTTTTCCAAACTGACATTCCCCGAGTTGTATAACGCTTAAAGATCACACGCGAACGTGGTCCCAACGTGCAAATTAACGTAGGTGGACGAAAGTAACGAAAGATTCACGTGATCGATAACTTTCGAGGAGTGTGATCGTGATCCACGTGTGTTTCGTCGATTTCGATCAGCCTCTTTGTTCTCGCTGATTATTCGTCCTCGTGTTTCGAATACTTTCGGCAAACGAATGAGAAACTGAATTCAGACCCAGAAAGAATGTATCTGCTTTCAAAAGATTAATGTTCGCAAATTTTCTTTCGTCACGAAAAAGAAATTTATCAAGCGGAGAATTATTATATTTTATCGTGCAAAGTGTCCCTTATCCTGTATTTATCTCTCATATTTCCCCCGAAGGAATTACATGCTCCTTTTTATTGCTCCGTAGATTACGAGTCGGTTAGGTTCAATTCGTGAACGTAACTTTTCTCGAAACATCGTTCTAACGGAATATAAGCCTTGGGAACAGATTCCTTATTATGTGCTCGCTTTCTCGAGACACGGTCAAAAAGAAGAATCGAAAGCGACTCGCTGGAATTATTTGGTAGGCAATTAACGAGAAACTTACCTAACAGGATATCAGGTTTATTCAACATTTTCGCCGACCAAACTTGTGTATTCTCTGTGTATATTCGATGCTACTTCCAAAATTATTACTTATTTATAATACAATTTGCAGCTTTATCTGTTTCGTGAAATACTTTGAGATTTCTGAAAAAGAAGAGAAAAGATTAGAAAGAATGAAAAATGTATATTTTATGTATAAAATAAGTGAACGATATTTCACTTGTTCGCATCGTGTTAGGTCATCCTCACGTATCGTTAAAGATATGCAGCAAAGGATTTGTATTAAATCTGTTTTTACGTTTGTAGACCCAGTGGTGGCAGTGGGCGAGAATTGTACTGCCCTCCATATTCGAAGGACTTCACGGAAAGTTCGCCGAAAAACGGTGTTCACAATATGGTTCACATGGTAGCGGAAAGGGACACGGATAGCGTGGCACCAACGCCAACGCCTCAGCACCCTCATCATTCTCAACACCACCATCTCAGTTTACACGAAATTCGTGCGCTTCAGGTATCTGATGATTGTATTCCATTTCACGGTCGCATTAACCACGAAAGAAGATATGCTAATAAATTCCTAGTTAATGTATTTTGCCTGATTTTCATTCATCAAGTATCAGATTGTTGAATATCAAATAACGGACTCGGAAACGTGCTCAACATACTTCGATGAGATGAAAAGAACTTGAAGTTTGATATGCAGCATCTATTTATGGCATCTAATAGATAGAACCGTTTTTTATTATTCATAGACATCTAGCTACAATGTTCGCAACGCAGTGTCATAAAGCATCGACATTTTTTGTTTCAGAGGCGGCCAGAATGTACCGGTAATAGCTCTTCAGATGAGAATCGATCGTCGGGACATGCAAGCATGTCGGACACGGGTGGCCACACTAGCAGCAGTTCACCACCGCACCGTCACCACAGGGCACACAGTCCTCAGCAGTTGAACTCCGTACCCGAAGACGATCGTTTGTCGGCCTCGGTTACGCAGAGAAATGGCAGGAGTAGGTCCGGCCAGAATCGCAACAGACATAGAGCTACACCTGCCAAGGTGTCCTTCTTAGAATGATCTTTACCTTATAATTTATAAGTAGAAACCTTACGACTCGTTATTGATTGCGGAAACCTTCCAATTTCTTAATACTTCGCATTGGTGTAGGGTGTCATCTCGTGTTAAGATATTGATGACACTTATTTTAAAGACAATATATTCTCCAAGGTAGATAAAATAGTGCAAAATACCCAAAATCGATTGCTTTCTGCCTGTGTTTGCCACCATTTTGTTTATATGAAAACTATCTAGTAGTTGCAAAGTTCCCTTACAAAATGTGAACCTTAGAACCTATAATTTTAGAAACGTACACACCAAGTCCCTTAGAATCCCCCATAAAAATTTGTTTGATCTGCATACAACAATATCACTGCAGTTACAGGTACCCTGGTCCGGTTCCGGTTTAGAAGACATCAAACTAGCCATCCAGCAGCTCACCATGCGATCTCACAAGTCATCTTCGACGTACTCCTCCTTAAGCGGCTCCGAGAGTTCAGAACCAGCTGTAAGGAGGTTGATGAGACATTCCAGCTTGGAGACTATCAACACCAACGTGACCAGCGCTGACGAATTCGTCTGGGTAGACTCGCACAATAGGCTGGTGGAACTGCAGCAATTACCCTGGACTCATCACGATGTGCTACGTGTTTTGCAAAATGGTCGGACCAGGGAACACATGGAGCAAGTATCTATGGAGACGATACCGCGACTCTCTTACTTGTTGCAACGTGCTCTGGTCAGAGTCGGTCGAGAAACGCAGAGATTGGCCAAACCTGTTGGTCTTTGTAGCAAACACGAAGTGTACAGCGCGTTCAAGATCGTGCTTTGTCCGGCGTTGGCTGATTCTTGCACCAAGGTAAGGAGAAACACAACCGCGACATAAGGGAAACATTTATTAATGTGTTTATGAACTATGCATGTCTTGCTCCTAGTGGAATTTATTGGAAAGGTAATCCTACACAATATTATTTTGTAGGAGATTTTCTGGGGTTTCATATCATATAATGAATTGTTCTACACCTCAGCAAACATTTGTTAAAAATATTCCTTCTTACAGGCATGCTTAAGAGCTGCAGCCATGTTCGCAGTATCCGGTGATCAACTGAAGCAGTCGAAGGCTTCTAGGTCTGGATTGCAGCTACCCGTAGGACGATTTCTTCGTTGGATGTCAGACGTACGACTTGGAAGAATGATACATGAATACGCGGCGATATATTTGACTGCGGGTATTGAAAATCTCCTGGAAGAAATATTGTTACAATGCATACCGACCGATCCGCACACAACGTTAACCGCGACGATGTTGGAGCATGCTATAGCGAACAGCGGAGATTTATGGGGTCTTCTGCAACCGTATGCACACTTGAACGCTGGTCGAACAGCATCAGGTACAGACACAGTGGTTTGAATTGTGAAATTTGTTTATCGTTCGTCGAGGAGAAACGAGAATGTTATATTTGCAGGTGCTCTTGCAATGCCGCGTTGGGCAAGCGTAAGTTCTTTAAATTCCTCTTCGTCATCTCGCAGTGGAAGGGACGCAGCGAATTCGGCACTGGAACCGTCGCTGTTAACCACCTGTGTCGGGTCGATGTCAGAGCTAATAGATTTAATCTCTAAAGTGGCACAAGCCGGACGTTCACCTATACCATTAACAACCAAGGCGCTGAACGCTTTGTTCTACTACATGAGGTGTTCGCAGGTTTGCTCGTTTAACCTTTATGTTTTCTACCTAACGCGTTGATATACGTTTACAATATAACGAAATATTATTTATGTAGTTGGAACACGGCGAACGAGGTTCCGGGATACAAGAGCTCGCTTATGAACGAGCGTACGTTGTCCTTCCGCCGTTGGTCGAGTGGCTACGTGTTGCAACTGCTCATGCAGAACATAGACACGGTCTCGTTGTAGATCAAGACGATATTAATCAAGCTGCTAGGCTGCTATTGCCTGGAGTAGACTGCCCAGTTAGACCTATATGGTAGAGAACATTGATATCATATTTATATTATACGGAATACTGTGTAAACCTTTCGCGTTCCATATATGTAGTCAATTTTCAAATGTATTTTATCTCCTAGTTATAACTTAAGATTAGATATACAAAATCTGCTAAATTCTTTCGAATAACTTCTGTGCAAACATTGCATTTTCTCAATAGCTTCGAGGAAGTAGCGGTCTGCTCGAAACGCATCGATGACACCGAATACGTTCGTCTTCTCACGATGGATATGGCCTTTAAAATGTTAACTAGCGGTCGTACGGATCTGATCGCACAAGCCATGCCTCTTTTGCCATCAACGAAGATCAATACGGTGAACGACAATGGCTTCACCGCACTGATGATAGCATGTATCAACGGTGATGAAACAGCTATATTAGCTCTGTTGGATGCTGGAGCAGATTTGAACATTGAAAGTCCACCACCACCGACTGGTCAATTGGCGAACACACCTTCCAAGGTTCCGGTAACACCAGGTGTATCGAATGCTAGGAGTCCGGTTACGCCATCTTCGATAGTGTCCTCTGGAAAAAGTATGCAGTCTTCAGGTTCAGCTTCTAGTTTGCCAAATGCATCCAGCAATATTTCAAGCAACGTATGCTGCAATCAAACTGGATTCAATGCTGAAACTCAACACTGGACCGCTTTAACTTACACGGCTTTAATGGGACATTGTAATATCGCCAGAATATTGTTAGAAAGAGGTGCTGCGGTTGAAGGTGGTGCTAAACCCAGTGAAGATAAATGTACAGTTACTCCACTGCAAGCTGCTACAGCAACTGGTAACAACGAAATGGTGGCGTTGTTATTAGCTCACGGTGCTCAGCCATTCTTGTCGACTTTGATCAAAGACTCCTTTTCTTACTCTGGTTCTGCCCAACGTGGTTGTTACAGGCAAGTGAAATGTTCATCTCATACGTTTGAAGGAAAAAGCTCTTGTTTTAATCTTCTTTTGTCAACCTCTTGTACAGCGCAATATCGGTAGCGACAGCTCATGGTCAAAGGAGCTGTCTTCATCAGTTGTTGTCTCATCCACTAAACTTTTCTGCCAAGAGAGGGGAAAAAGAAGTATTGTCTTTGGAAGAGATTCTTGCGGAAGGTAGCGCAGCCACTAGTCCACAACAGCAAACCGTAGATGGAAGAGGAAATCGAAGGGAAGGGAAGGAGCCAGTTTTTAATAAGGTTCAAACAAAAGCTTTGCAAGAAGCAATGTATCACAGCGCTGAAAGTAATCATTTAGGTAAACTAAATTTTTATATGAGTAACGTGGTAATCGACGTGTTAAAGAAATATAAAATAGTTAAACAAAACAAGTTTTATTCAGATACAATGTATCTTATAGATATAACAATGGAACTCCGCGGATTAAAAGTAGGTTGGACATTACATTGCTGGATGCATAGTCTCGCAACGGCTCATGAAATGAGATTAGATTCCGTGATAGATCAATTGCTTCAAGATTTCCTTCAAGTGTGTCCAGATGATTATTCGACACAATTTGTACAGGAATGTCTTCCTTTGTTATTTAACATTTTTAGGTACAGTAAGGCAAGTATCAATTACAATATAAATAAAATTCAAATAACAATTTTATGATCTACTATTTATATTTTGAGTACAGAAAGAAGGCACGACGCTACTTCTTGCTGATATTTTCTGTACATGTTTTGGATGGGAACCGATAAAACCTATTCGAGACACTACACTTTCAAGTGGATCAAGAATAGATCCTAAATTTGTAAATAATCCAGAGTTAAGCGATGTACAGTTCAGAGTGGAGGGTAGAGTTTTCTATGGCCATAAAATTGTTCTAGTAACATCGTCTCCAAGGTTTAGAAACATGTTGAGTTCCAAGTTATGTGAGGGGAATCCTCCGATTGTACAAATCAATGATATACGGTACCACATTTTCCAGGTATGCTTATCTCAATAGATACTGAACATACATTGTCTTATAAAAACATCCCGTAAATAAAATTTCTTTCTCGCCTTCAGATGGTTATGGAATTCTTATATCACGGTGGATGTGCCACGTTAGAAGTTAATCAAAGTGATGTCTTGGAGCTAATGGCTGCTGCAAACTTTTTCCAGTTAGACGGTTTGCTTAGGTACTGCGAAGCACAGTGCTCGTCAATGGTTGATCTTGATAACATCGTTTCTATGTACATTCATGCAAAGGTATATTATATAATTCAAATATTACTGATGAAGTGTAACTTTGAAACATCCTACACATTTTTAAAAATGGTACACAAAAAGTATTCTGTCTTATCGACTTTAACATTATGTAAAAACTTTTTAGGTTTATAACGCGACTCAACTGTTAGAATACTGTCAAGGATTTTTGTTACAAAATATGGTTGCTTTATTGACATACGATGACTCGGTTAAGCGCCTATTGTTTGCTAAAAAACTGCCAAATCACGACGTCCTCGCGGGCCTTCTTCTTACTTTACAAGCAAGAATAAAAACTAGACGATCTCAACAACAAAATAAAATAAAAGCTTAGAGATATAATGTATCCAGTATAGTGGTATCATCATTATCATTTCGTTTCCGCTTTTGTCAAGTATAGTTATCAACATATTTAGGTGACGCCGTTTAATAAAAAGTAAGATATGTACATTAATTAAGACTGAATGTTTCATGACTTATCTTTAATTCATTATCAGGTATTTAAATATAAATCTCCAGTAATTTATATCAGAGATTATAATTTTCATGCGATTATTCTTTTTTTCAAGGTATTAGTAGAATTTAAGAATGATACATGTGATGCAAATTATACACCTACATATTTTATTCTTGTTGTATAATACTTCTTTAACTACTTTTTGTAAACTACAAAGTATAAAATATCAATGTATATTATATATCGTTTGCACTATCAAAATGACATACTTCATTATAAATGAATTTTATGCATGTATAATAATTAAGCAGTTTAATTTTCAAAAATAAATGTCCAACTCGGCTTTAAGTAATAGTGTAAATAATAAAATTAATTATCATAAAATATGCAGTATAATATACACTATAAATTAATTATCTATCACTGTTAAACTATTAATATATGCAACAGGTAAATATATATCTTGTAAATAAAACGGATTAAACATTTTATACACAATGCAAAAAAGATGTTAAAACAGAATATAATTCTCCTTCTAAACATAATTTATTCGTCGCGATTGCAAGAAATTATAAATATTGTGATACGGTGCAGTCTCGCTATATAGCCGTTTTTCGGATCATCAAATTTTTTACGATAAATCGAATTTTGTTTATAGCTCTTTCTATAATTTTCTGTTCTGCAACATCGGCCATATATCAAGACTCCACCGTAACTAAATAATCATTGTTCCATTTCCCAATACTTAATAAAATTGTTTATACTTTTTATTAGGCTTTTGTTTACACATAATTATTAGATTTTATAGTATTTATCACAATACAGGAATTTATTAAAAACTAAAAATATAAAGAGAAAAATCCATGCAAAGTAAAATATTACGCTAATATATGCTATTTAATGCTCGCAAAATCCTTATACAATATATTGCTCTTTTTTGTATTCTGTTTGAATTTGAATAAATAAAATCCTTACTTCGTAATAAAATGTTACAAACAACGCGGCGCATTCAGAAGAGAAAAAGAAAAGACGAAACTGAATTCAATACTTAATACTACTTTGTAACACACAGTTCATTATCACTTTAACAAAATTGTTATCATCGATAGATCTGCGTATGTTAACGATGTAACAATGTTAGCATTTATATATATAATGTGATTTATTTTGAATGTCAATGGTTAGTTGTATATACAATATTTAAGTTATAATCTTAATGATACTGTAATCACTGGATTTTTAGATTTTGGAATGCCTAATAATCATATGAATCAAATCGATCTTCAAAAAATGGCTGTCTCAATCTTACAATTATATGTAATATATTTCTCATTGTTAACCTTGTAAGCTTTAGCAGATGTACAAGCGATCTATAATAAACGATAAAATCCTAATGAAGACTGATTATAAAAATTATATTCACAGTTTTGTACATTTCTATTACGTTTCATAGATTAAGATTAGAAAATTTTGTCACTTCGTGTATGTTCATACAAACTTCCATTTAATACATTATATGCCTAATAAGGATTTCAATGATATAATTTGTCAGAAAAAACGTCAACTTAAAAATGATTTTCAAAAAATGTTATTATATGCATCCTTTGTAACATGTACATACAATTGTGCACATATTACTACAAATTTTTTAGTACCTGTGTTTTTATAAAAACAAAAGATATCAAGATTTAAGCACACGAAATACATAATTTATTTACATAGTAAAACATTTAAAATGGAACATTTTAAATGATTAACATTTATGTAAAAAACTATGTAAGTTTATAACAAAATTGAAATATATGCAAATAAGTGATAAAGCATGAATAGAATATTTCTGTACCTTGTTTACAGCATGTAGAAATTTATATGCAAACTGAAATATAAAAATATTCTATATAGCACTATAATATAGTTGGCATACACAAACCATGTTCAGTTACTTAATGATAGAAAATTTCTTATTTTATAGCAAACAAATTAGCGAAAGAAGCACTTACTGAAACCAAAGACGTACCGTAACATTTAATTATCACTTTTCATCACATTCGTTTGATTAATAAAAAAATTGAGCAATGCCTATGGGTAACATTCGGGTGTAATAAAAATATTGTATTTGTTGAAGAAAATTGCAAGTTGAAACGTACCAGCACATATTTTTATATAGAATTATAAAAAAAATAATCGAAATGTTACTTATTCGATATACCTTATTTAGATCGTTTGTTACCAATCATTTAACACCAATTAATTTAGTGCCACATTTATTCTGTATAGTTCTTACGTAGAGAAACTAATCTTCTTGAAAATTATTTTGCATACTTTTTTAATAACCGTGCTATTTATAAATAATTGTAAATTATTGTTTTATAGTAATAAATATTAAAAGTATTATAGATTATAGAATAGTTGAACAATAGAGTAGACAATTTTAATATGTATTCTTAACAAACAATATATGTCACCATAAAATTTGAAACTATAACATTAACATTATTTCAAACGCTTGTCGCATATACAATGCTATACAGTTTACTAGTAAGTAATATATAAAGCAGTTAAAATGGTTCATCAAATTTTGTATAAGATTATAATTTGATATAACAGAAGTGACAATAGTTACTTTATATTATTCCGAATTAGTTAATCGTTTCGTGGAACAAAAGTACAAATTTATTTTTGCCACTATAATAAATCTATTATAAAGGATAGTGCAGGTATTCGATATACCTTTGTTATGTTTTAATCTAAAATAATCCAGAAAGTAAAGGTAAAAAGCAGAGATACATTAAGAATAATATAAAACGTTTTGAACATTTGAAAATAATAAAAAATAATACATTCAAATTACATGTTAATCAATTTACAAGATGAATATAAAATAAGTCTATCCTCTCCCCATATTGCATTGACCAATATACAAACTGGCAATTCATATTTTCCTTGATATTCATTCTACAATCAATATAAGATAGATTGAGACAGCCCTTTTCACTTACTCATATCTATGATGGTTAGGAGCGCTAACTTAATTTAGTGACTAGAATAATAATTAATATAACAACGACTATAATCGCGAGTAACAACAGTACATAAACCTTTCGCCGGTATTTACTTTGGTAATTACTTCCCTTAATTAATTCTTGTGTTCCAAGCTCCACATTTCCATGTATATTTTCTACAGCATTATCTATCGTGTCTGTGACAGAAAAGATTCATAAATATTTATGTGTAAATATTTTTATGAAAAAGTTACAGACGTGATTACTTACTGACTGAGTCACCTTGCTGATATACCAGTGCCATAAGCTGGCGCATTATTTGATTTACATCTAAAATATCGCCCTCGATCCGTTTTACTCTATCTTCTCTCTCAATTAGCAATCCTTGTTGGAATTCAAGATCCCTAGGTATTTCATAAAACAGAATAATTGTTTGCAGCCTAATTTCCATGTAATCAATATCGTCATTTCAGTGCTTGTATTAATATGCATTGAAACAGACTTACCATACATTCAAGTGCATTTTATAGCTTCTCTATATTAATAATACATGTTGCAATTATTTAATAATCTTTTTCACTGAGAATTTTAAATCAAGCTATCTTGATATTCATGCTATAAAATCCACAAATTATGTTTATCTTATAAAAATCATGAGAAAAGCCTATTGAATTTTGTTTTGTTAACAAGTTACATAATGTTAGCCATCCCTGAACCCATTGCTTGTGTGCAGACTGTGAGGAATAGTCGAGCTTTTTTCACTACTTGTATGTGCAAATACACTTACATATTTATAAAAATTAATATAAATTTATTTTCAAACCTTTGTTTCTCTTGGTGTTCATCCTCTTGTACTTGGAGTAGACGTTGTTGTTCCTCCTCTTCTGGATCCATATGACTCTCTATACTAGTTGTAGGTAAAATATATCTCTTCATTTTTGCTGCTACTGACTGAAAAATTTATTATCATATAATATAAAGACATATCACAAACTTATGCATGCTCTATTATATCTTCTACCTTTTGCATGTCTGAATATCTCATCATGGCATCTTTAAAATCAGTGGTAAGCTTTTCTATTTGTAATTTTTGTTGTTTATCTCCTCTCCTCATTAGTACTGTCAGTCTTGCAATATCTTTACTTGTTTGATTTACTACTTGATTTGTGCTTAACTGTGTTTCATGCCTAATACAAAATAAATTCACATATACTTCAACAAATCAATGAAACATAATCACATAATTTGTTATAATCCATTGTTTTAGCTACTTACACCTTATCTCTCAGTTCTTGATTATCTCTATTGGTTCCAATATTCTTATATGAACGTTCAAGTGTCTTCCAAGTTGTGTTGATTTTATATATGTTAGCAGTAATATTTTCACTGAGACTATAAAGTTCAGTAGGACTAAATCCCACATCAGGTACATCTGACCGTTGATCCGTGGATCCATAAGTTTGAGAACTATGAGCCATTCTAAAAAATACATAAAAACATTCTCGCAAATTTTTGTATTTAACAAAAATGTACATGAATGATTTAAAGGCACATTTATAATCCTACTTCATTACCTTTTTATTTACAAATATATAACTCTGATTAATATTTATGTATAGATGTTGGTTCATGCATATGAAATGTTGTTTTCATTATTACATTGTCATTAAACTCTTGGTATGGTTTATAATGAATGATGATTCACTAAATTTCACAAATTATTACTGAATAGTTTTTATATTTGCATTAAAGAAACATTTACATTAACAAGGATAATTTCAAAGGCCAAGTTATTCATAATTTCAAGAAATTATTTTCAAATGATTAATGACAAATATTATTGGGAGTCAATGTATTACAATAAACTCATTTTCTACTATGCTCTATAATATTAATTATAAAATAACGTTTATTAGCTGAAACTATTTCACAAAATTCAAAGTTCAAAAAAACAACATTTGATATACACCAACCTAATATAAAATTAAAAACAATTAAAGTATGTATAATTTGTATAATCAGCTATGACAACTAATTATATCTTAATGCAGTTATGTACAATAAATATTTGCATGGTTTTATGCTTTATAACATTAATAAAATTATTAAAAAATAGTTTTATTAACATGAGAACTTAACAAAATGCAAATATATCCCTCGAACTTGTTGTAAAAATTACATTTGCAATATGAAAGATATTATGATATATTACATAGATAATATTGTAAATTACAATTTCCTTAATGCATTAAAATTATTTTACGCGATTATATGTTCCAGAACAATGTTCAGATCCAATGGTGTATGATGAATCATGTACAAAGAGTTGCGATAATGAACATGAAATTATATATAATTGTATACAAACATCGTCGATCTTATAACAAACCTGAACTGTTTTATCACAAGTGTTCTTAATATCTAAATATAAATTGTTTCATTAATTCACATTTAAAAATCAAGAGAACTATTTTTATGTATCGAATCTTAGAAACTGACAGTTGCCTAAACGATCTAATCCACCGTCCACGTGACGGTAGTCCTTTTATACTCGTGAACGTATATTTAACAGAAACCTACATTATCGATGTCCAAGATTTAAAAATTTCAATTAGTCATTATTAAATATAAATATTAATTAATATACCACAAGCATTTATGTACTCTTAAATAATACACTTATAACTATATAATATATATTTCACAGATTGTAATCTAAATTAAAATATATGAACAATTTAGTGTGTCTATAACACCGTCAATACTACTAGATTCAAAATAATATTAATAAATATTGTTGCGCGATATTGCAACATAAATTGTTAAAGTATAGTCTTTAAATTGAATTTAATAATGTACGTGCAAAATATATCATTCGCGAAAGCTGTTCAGAAGAACGAATAATAATGTAAAATTATTTTCTGCTAACTCATAAAAATGTGTCTGGAATACCGCCGTATATATTGTTACCGCTAGGATCAAGAATAAAACTGATAATAAATTTATTTTAATATTATTTGTTATATTTGCAACGATAAAAGTGAGGAAAAATAGTAATATATTTTTTTATTGAACAGTTGAAATCATTAATGAGCTACCTTCCTCTGTAACCAGAGGTTAGTCGCATGGCGGACACTGGCTTGACAAGACGTAAGGTACGGAAGTTCCCGAGTACGACCGACAGATTGCGAAAGCCTTCAGAAACAACAACCGTCGGCCGTAAGTAAACGCTATTGTGATTTCTCATCATTTTAATCGCTTAAATAGTATGCTTTTTGTTGTGTAAATGTCACAAAAGAAAATTTGACACTAGATTACCTCGATGCGTATGTTTTCCGATAAAAAATCTCTCTGAAAATCCTGAAATTCGATAGAATTTTCTCGAGGGTTGCTTTGAGAGTTAATGCAGTACGTACATAGGTCGTGCGTCATGTCGGCTCTGAACGCATCTTCCGTTTGTCGGGTTCCTATCACGTTTCAAGTTTCTCTTGAATATAACCGCAATCTTTTCGCGTTATCGAATTATTCTTGTCTCGATAGTAAAAAAAAAGAGCAATGCGCGAGTGGTAATCGAGTGTTGTTTCGCGGACACTACGCAACACCCTACTTTTGACATTTTAATCGGTGTGACTTTTGAAGTAGGTTGATCGTATGGCTTCTTGCACGCTTGTTTTATGCATCAGACGTTTCATACTTTTATTCAAAGTACTTTTCTTTTGTCTTTATATACAGAATATTTTCGACGTTCATCGTAACGCGTGTGTCGCTTTGTTAAGTTTCTCTTTTGAAAAATTCTAAATTAAATTTTTTATCATTTCGCTATTGAGTACAAATCAGAGTCATCAATTTACTCAAGAAATGGCTAGACGCATTGCTTACGTTTAATATTTCTTAACCATTTTTTATACCTTTTATATGAATTTCGAAGTCCAAGATATTATTTCGTTCCTTCCGTTGTTTGTTAGTACATTGAAAATAGTATTTTTCTCGCGTTGGTCAACTTTCGAAAATTCTGAAATATTTATTTAGAGTCAGATACTGTGCAGACTCTTTTGTAAACATACGTATGCACAAAGCACACGTACGTATTCATCGATTAGTGTGCACGTACTTACACGCATTGGCGTGCATGAAACCAAACAGGCGTGTACTGTCATGTTTCTGACGACGTTTAGATGAAATTTTCTTACTTGCATAGTCAATTTACAAAATACATTAAGATGCAAAGTGACAAGCCTCGAGCGTCTTTTCCATTTTGCAATTTTAAATTTATTTTTTGATCATATGTTATGTTTCGTTTTACATTATTTGCAATACTTGAATGATACCGTAATAATTGATATAGATTAATTTTAGATTTATTTAAAATAGGTTCAAAGTTCTTTGGCAATCATCTCAACTCTTGTTTCCGTTATATTAAAATTAGAAATTTTAAAGTGTAAGTCTTGCTATATGGCTTCCATTTATATGGTTTGTTGCAAGAGTTCCCCTTCATCCTCACTAGTGCCCCCCACCTTCCCAATTATCGTAGAGCATAGAGACTCACGGAGATCACCGCAACTTCAAAAATTAATATCATTTTGTTTGCGATCGATAAATACAAAAGTTGAAAATTTTTAAACTGGGAAATTAGAATTTGCAAGTTACATCTTTGCCGACAAAACTTTAAGAGTAATAGTTTTGCCCGTGTATCTGTTCCACAGTTTCTCCCTCTCCCATAGCCCCGTCCAAGGCTATATAACAAGACTGCACTGTATTTCGACTTGAAACTAACTCTTGAGTGAAAGTGTTGTTAAATTGAAAACGAGTGTTGTGTCAATTTCGATAAAAAAGCGTTGCGAATATTTCTTATTATGAAAGTAGTAACAATTAAGAGTTTTAATGATTACAACCTCGAAACATTTAATACTTCGGTACTATGTTACACGCTCACCCGTGATATACATATAAGAACATTTGCTGTGCGCCTTTAAATGCTCGCCCATATGACTGGCTCCGACGTCGAACGTGGACGGCCTTATGCCTCTTTGTTACAGCAAACTTAAATGCTTATCGGACTATGAATAGACGTACTGATTTGTTTTCAGCTGTCCACTTTGTACAGCTAATTTACACCTTACCGCTTATAACTGACACATTAAAACGATCATTTGTTAACCCATAATTAATACAGTGATCATTTTGTCACATAGAAAATTGTTAATTCGATGGAATGTTAAACTTATTGCTTTATTAAAAAATTATAACCTTGCATTTAAGAGAGAAGTTTCTAGAGTTTGATAAATCCTTACTAATCGCAGATTGAAATTCTAAAATTTTATGTTAATGCATGTGCATTTTGATTGCATGAGCATGTTGTTTGAATAAAAATATGCAGTGCGAGACAAGATACAAATTACGTTTATTAAGTGCAAACATCAAGAAATATTGAATACGAGTGAAATGTATATCGAGAGAATCATGTGATGGAATTTTTGGAAACAAAGAGTTCATTTTCCTTTGTGTAACAGTGTGTTACTTGTTCGTTTTCGACCGTGCAGTTGCCAGTTGTCAGTATTGTTAGTTACGATTGAATTATTTCTTGTTTTTCACGTTCGATTCGGATGAAAGATATCGCGCAAATATTAACGTTTAACTGTGCAATGAAAGGCAAAGGTATCTCGCTCTCTTTTTTTTCCTGCTGATCTTATACAGAGTCGGCCTTCAAAAGTTGGCAGCCTTGTTCTAACTCGTAGAGAGCAACCGTCACAGCGCATCAGTGACGTGTCACGAGGAAACCAAGTAATGGAGTGTTCGAAATTATTCAGAGAAAGATAGCGATATTGTTCCCTTTACGTCATTGCTATCTCTTTGTTTATTAATGACACACGTTTCCATTTTATGTATCAACACTTTTGTGGATCCAATTGATATTACATTGCTCAATACAAAAGATAAAAAAATAATTTTGTTTCTTTTCTTCGAATCGCTTAAGAATGATTTCCGCTAATTTAATTAGAGATATATAATCATTGCGAATGTACTAATTATGTTTACATTCTTTTTGAATCGAAGTTGAATATTACTTTTCATCTAGACAAATAAGGTAATATATTATTCAAATGAATAATTTATTTACAATTCATTGAAAATTCAAATTCATTGAAAGTGTGAGAACTATGTGTATTTTTTCTTGTGTGAACTATAAATGCATATTGTTAGGTGTAAAGGTCATTCCAAAAATGTATACTCATAAATACTTTACTCGTTTCCGATAAATATTTAAATGTTTAAATTTAAAAAAGGTTAGATAAATTTAAAGCTACAAAGAAATTTCGATCGTTATTTCGGTAATTTAACTAATTGAGTAGTACTAACCTTCACGAAACCTTTGTTTGTTCGTCGAGCACGAATGTAATACAAATTTAAAAGAAAATGAGATCGAGTACCGGTTTGATGTATTAAAGAAATTTTTTAATGCCAAAGTATGGAGTAGCAACGACTTTCATTGTATGTATAATCCTACAATCGCTATGTTCCATTGTTATAGTTACTCAGCTGTATTTAACTTTTGCTACAGTCATATTAAAAATCTTGTATTAGTACTTGAATGTAATAACCAACAGTTTTGCGTTAAGAAATGGCCATAATTCCGCATTTCGCAGAATTGAATATCAGGAATTGTCTCGTACGCAAGATAAAGCTATCTTCTTCAGTCTTTTACCCTGTAGTAAAGGGAACAGACAGAAGTTTACCTAGTGCGCACCCTAAATATGTGAAACGCTCGGTAGAGGCGGTCAAAGACGACCTTAGTCGAACTGAGGACGAAGTTGTCCGACCTCGCCCGATCAGCATGACGATAGAAGCCGACATCGGTCGAGGTGAGACGACGAAAAGTTCATTGACCGTCTGACCATGAGCCGCGCCCCACATACGATCCTCTCCACGTTCATCGTCCACGGCTTTTGGTTGTTTTATTCGTAACCTATACCTCAAGATCAAAGCCGTTTCCCTGGAGAAGGTCCCCGTTCTGCCCATTGAAGACCTTCACTTGTGAGCGCGATAAGGCCGCACACGTTACTCTCTGCCTTCTGGCATTCAAATTCCAATTGTTAGAAGATTCAAAAGCATCTGATCTTAATTATTACGCGAAATATGAAAAGAAAACAGATTTATTGCTTTTATTGTCAATATTATATTTAATTCTAATTGTAACCTCCTTAAGTCCTATTTGCAGAAAATACTGGAATGAAAGGAAAATATATTTTAACACATTTGCAGCTGGCAGTTTTGAGACGGGATGCTTAGTTGGATGCTACAGAGATTTATAATTGGAATGGTTATAAACATAAGGAAATATTGGTTACAGTAGTTGCATTATTAACAATTTAATAATGTTCTATTCATTGTAAAAAGCACATAACTTGAGCATTTGAGGCGAGAGTTAAACTTCTCTTGTATGTTGTCGAAGGAAAAGTGTTATATTGAAACAAATTTGGAACAGTTGATGATCGTTGATTTTTAAAATTTGTCATTATTTCACCAATTTTCAAGCATATGTAGGAAGGAAAAGAGGAATTTAATTGTGTGTTGTGCACAAAAAATATCTGAGTGTTGCAAAACTCTTTTTGCAGTCGAGAGTATACTTATAATTCAAATCAGAAAAAACAATATTCAATAAGTAGCAGAATGAGCTTATAATTTCTGTGCTTATGATTATTTATTGACCATAAGAATGAATGCCACTTATTAGTTATGCATGAGCCTATTTGAAAGATGATTGTTAAGGGAAAGTTAATTACTATCATGCTAACATGCAATCGAAAGAACTTATGTTTTTCATCTATGTAGGATAAGGTGTATGCATTTAAGCATTTCATCTATTTTTATGTATAAATTTGTACTTATAATTTGCATGAATATTTTATATATTTAATGGAGATTCATTACTAAATTATAGTAGAATATTTACTACTTAAAATAACTTATAAAAGCATTAAAAATCTCGAATATTTCTTACTTTATGATGCACTATAACTTGTAGAAATAAATAATCAATGCATGAACTATCAAAACCAATTTGATGATATTGCTGTAATAACCATTGAGTAGACTTGGGTGAATCATATATTTAAGGGAAAACAATATTGTAATAGTTATAAAAATACACTGGCTTTGTGAATTTATCTTAATGTACATGTTACATGTTATGTACTCGTTAAGACAAAAAACATTTAACATGTAATATGTACATCGTATCATTTACAAAAAGGCAGTATACTTTTAAAGATAAATATTGCAATGTTGATCTATCATAAATGAAAGGGGCAATTGATACAGTAAGGCAAAACAGTAATGTTTGGTAGAAAATGCATAATTACCTGTATTTCTATAAGCATTTTAACTGCATGTTTCTTAATATATCATATTTTTGCATCATTAGGTACAAAGGCTGCATATTAATAATCAAACATGGAAGGAGTAGCATGCGTGTAAGCAATTAATCATTGAAAAAATGACTAGTATTTTTATTGTAATGTTTCCTTTGTTTCAGCTTCCTAAAGGAAGATCTGTGTGCTGTGATTTATCACTCAGGGGGCCGAAACACGCGCAACAACGGACAACCCCACAGGACCGGGGGGTGCTTCTCGTGTCTCGGGAGGAAGGTCAGGGTCTACAAAGTTACCTTGGCTGTATAAAATCATACACGAGCTGCTTCTTTTCTTACATCCAAAGAATCCTCTGTGTTGCATTGTATTACTGGTAACACTGAAATTAAAAAAATTCGATGCCTTCCAGGGACGATATTCGCTCCCTATCCACTGAGCAACGCTGGATCCCTCCTTCAACTGTTAGACGCGATGCACTCACCCCAGAAAGCAGAAATGATCTCATCTTTCGAAAGGTGCGGGGTATTCTTAATAAGCTTACGCCGGAAAAGTTCGCAAAGCTGAGCACCGACCTGCTCAACGTTGAGCTTAATTCTCATGTGATTCTTAAAGGTGTCATTTTCTTGGTAAGTTGACGAACAACATTACAGTCATTGATTGAGATTTGTTTGTTCAATATGTACAGATTTTAATGGCATTGTTATTTTTCTAGATCTTTGAAAAAGCCCTTGATGAACCCAAGTACAGTTCTATGTACGCACAGCTGTGCAAACGGCTGTCTGACGAAGCTGCAAATTTTGAACCACGAAAAACTCTTATTGATAATCAAAAAGGCCAAAGCACATTCACACTTCTTCTTCTTAACAAGTGCAAAGACGAATTTGAAAATCGATCAAAGGCAAGCGAGGCATTTGAAAATCAAGATGAACTCGGTCCAGAGGAAGAGGAACGTCGACAGGTGGCTAAGCGCAAGATGCTTGGCAACATCAAATTCATCGGAGAACTGGGAAAGTTGGGAATCGTATCAGAACCGATTTTACATCGCTGCATCCAGCAATTGTTGGAGAAGAAAAGGCGAGGGAGATCCAGGGGGGACACTGCCGAGGATATCGAATGCCTCTGTCAAATCATGCGTACCTGCGGTCGCATCCTTGACTCGGATAAAGGCCGCGGACTCATGGATCAATATTTTCGACGTATGAACTCTTTGGCAGAGAGCAGCGATCTTCCTTTACGTATCAAGTTCATGCTGCGTGATGTCATTGAGCTACGCCGTGATGGCTGGGTACCACGCAAGGCTACTAGCACCGAAGGTCCAATGCCAATCAATCAAATCCGCAATGATAACGAAGAGTCTTCGAGGGGAAATGGCTTCCATAGACGAGAGGATCGCCTCGGAGCTGAATTTCTAAGGAAAATGGGACGTGGCGGATTAGACATGGACATGATGGGAAGTATTCCATTGACTTCCCCTTCGTTTGGCATGTCATCTCCATTCAGCCCAAATGGATTCTCAGGAACTTCCGGGGTTGGTTATGGACGCCACAATCAACGTAACCAGCCGGGTTACTACCAAAACCAGAATCGTCATCAAAATAACTATCAAGGGAAACATAATCAACAGCAACATAATTCACCGCAAAACTTCAATAACAGTAAGTTTCGTAATGTTGTAAATTAAAACATTTCTGAATGTGAAATGCGAATGGATATTCGTACTAATAAATATATTTTTACTATTTGCAGATAGTAGTAAAGAGCAATTACGTTTCAATAAGAATAAGATGTTGATTGGACATCCAGAAGAAGTCTCATTAAGACCATCAGCTAATTCTATGATGTTTAAACAGACCAACATCAATCCCAACCTACCTCTAAACAGTGGTAAGTGGTACTTGATACAATATTATTATTTTTCGAATACGAACATTTAAACTACTATTTATAGTATAAAATACTGTAGATATGGTTTGATTGATAATAATTAAATAATTGGTTCAACCAAACCTTAATAATATAGATATTTAGATGTAATCTCAATTAAGTACTAATAGAAGAATGTCATAGGAATATTTTCTAATTAAACGAAACGATAGATCTGTTCCCAGGAAGAGCATCAGAATTGCCTCTTCTGCGTACTAGCACATTGAAACCCAGCTCGCCATTATTGCACAAGGAATTGCCACCAGCAATTGTAATAAAACAAGGTCCTGTAGATAAGAGGGAAAAAGCTAGAGACAGAAAAGATAAAGGAACTTCTAGAGAAGAAATATTGAAGAAGGTGAACGCATTAATGGACGATCTCGTTTCACATACAAATATACAGGACGCAATAACAGCTTTTCAAGATCTTAAGATACCTGAACGATTTTTACGTCATGCAGTTTATACATTATATTCTAATACATTGGATCGTGGAGACTCTGAGCGCGAACTCGCAGCCAAGCTCATAGTTGAATTGGTGAGAGCAGACGTGATTACTGTACAGCAAGTACACGAAGGATGGAAAGAACTAGTATCCAATATATCAGAAAAGGAGAGTACTGTGCCTTGTGTAGCTTCTCACGTTGCCTTCTTAACAGCTAAGGCCATTGTGAATAATTTAATTCAATTAACCGATCTTGTTGCTGTGACAGAAAACGGCCAACATCATCCATTGTTTTTACTTACACTTCAGCAATTGCATAAAAGTCAAGGCAAAGCAACACTCACACAGATCTTCAACGAGAGCAAAGTGAATCTTATCAGCCAACTTCCTGAGGCAGACAAGACGAAAGAAAGATTAGCGGAAATTTTAGAGGACAGAGAACTGACCTTCCTCTATCCGCTTCTTAAGATCCAAGGAGATATATGGCGTCAATTAGAATATGACCCCAATCCTCATACTCTTTTCAAATGGATCAAAGAAAAGTTAGAACCTTCACATCATTCTAATTCAGAGTTTATTAATGCTTTGATGAATGTTCTTCTGAAATATATTACTCAAGTTAGTATAAACACTTACATAACGATAGAAAAGCAAAGTCTCACTATAGCTCTGAAATGACTAATGTTTCATTTGCCTTTTTATATTCACAGGAAACAATACTGGCACCTGGAGTTGATCCATCTAATGTAGCCAAATCAGTAATAGATAAAGAAAAGGCATTACTGGAAAAATATTCGCGTTTGATGCGTTTACTCTTCGTCGATATAGAGTCTCAAGTAACAGCTCTACATGCGCTTCAAGCATTTTGGTTCTCGCACAATTTTCCAAAAGGGATGTTACTGCGATGGTTTGACGGACTGTATCGATTAGAAGTAATCGAAGAAGAAGCTTACTTCAAATGGAAGGAGCGTGTTACTGACGCTTATCCTGGCAAAGGCAAAGCGTTATTTGAGGTAAATAAAATCACTTGTAAATTTGTGAACATTTGAAAATTAATATTAATAACTATAACAATGTTGTAAATTCAGGTACAGTATAGGCTTCCTTTAGCTAAGAGTAAGTGTAAACTCTTCATTAAAGATAAAGGAAACCTATGTTGTATCCAGGTGTACTTAACAATTTATATGAAAAAACGATTAACAAATGAACTATTGAACGATATAGGTCAACAGTTGGTTAACATGGTTGGATAACGCATCAACGGAAGAGGAAAGTGATGATCATAACGACGACGACGACAGCAACAAAAACTACCGAATGCAGAAACTGTGAGAAGGATAACGTTCAACAGGATAACCTATAATTTGGAATAGGATTTTACTATCTATATCACTGAACCAGGTGGTTTCAGTTTACTAATTGAGTTATCTCCATCCATTGCCACAAACGTCTTGTTAGTCTGTCAAGTCCTCGCATCGAAGAAGAGGACTTTACAATCATATTGTCCAAAAAAGAATGGATAGTTTTTGCAGACCCCTCGAGTGGTTTGCAATCAGACTTTATAAGCAAGAAGTTTTAGAATGTTTTAGATAATTGAATATATTGATTGATATGATTTAATAATCATATTTGGGCCAGCAGATATATCAACAATTCGCCGCTGTATGAACATCGGTGCAGAAAGAAAACAGAAAAGATAAAAATTAGTCTGGTGATTTGTGTTGTCAAAGTTTTTGTCTAGTATTGTGCATGTGTCACGTTTTATAAGTCTTTTTGTCCGCGGCACCAGTGAGTCGCTTGTTATCTCTGTGTACCAGCTTTTACATTTATTATGAGGAATTATTATCTATTATTATTAACTATTATTATTATTATTACTATTATATGATTGATCACAACAGTCGAAATACATCTACTTTCCTAAAGAAACTGAACAAAAAATTGATCAGAAACTGGACTGACTCAGTAGTTAGTATACAGTGTGAACAACAATATAAAAAAAGTGATTAATAATTCTCTTTAAAGTTAAAATGAATTTGTAGCTTCTCTCGAAGCGAATCGCTGAGTCAAACTTATACACCAATCAACCAAACAACCACTTTGCCCATGTACCTATTTGCTGCTCCATTAATTGTATTAAGTACTAATTATCAAATGACAACCAGCAGCCAACGTCACGATTCACTTAACATAACATAACGGAAAAAAGATTAGCGATACGACTAAAATCGTATTTAAAATAAACATAACTTACTGTAATTCAGGCATGACCAAGTGGTTGCTCGCGAACCACAGTCGGCTACCATTCCTACTTTCTTTACTTCACTAAGTCATAAGGAAATGGTTCCTAACATTATGTACTTGCCGATGTTAATTATATCCTCAAATTCCCAAGTTTTGCAAATTTCAAAATTCTCTCAATCCACAAGTTTCTAAATTTCCAGATTATTAAAAGTAAATTATTTATTTTATAAATTTTAATATTTGAAGATGGTATTGGCTGGCAATGTAACGAAAGTCTACCGTACCCAAGCTTTAATTACACGCATAAGGTACGAATGAATTAGTAAATTGCAATTTAGTTTATCGAAAGGGGTACGGATAGACTGAATATGGGGGGACAGATCAGTTGGTAGCAAGAAGCGTTCAGCTGTCAGCGAGAAATCACTTGGTCGTGCCTGGTGTAATTTATTACAGATGGCCCCCTGGTTGTTCTGTCGATGAGAACCACCTTACCTTGATTTTCCCGCCTATAGTCTCCTTATAAATTTATTACGCATTGACAACGTGATCTAATTGAAATGCGTAACCTTCAGACCGACACGATGCCGTACGTTCGCCTAAGCAAAAGTTAGTGCAATATCGCAGCTCTCGTGATCGGTGGAGAAGAAAGAAGCAGACATTCATTTAGAGATTAATCATCGATTTTTCGTGTATATTTTCGTCACTTCCATAGCTTTCAATTTGTAACTTGTTAAGCTTGTATGTATCGATATACACTGAATATTAACATATAAGAATTTGGATACATTTTTTCATTATTTGTGGATAATCTTTCAGAATGTTGTACATATTATTATTATAATTATAATTATTATTATCATTATTATTATTATTATTACTATTAATTACTATTACCAGGGCCGGTGCGAGGTGGGTACAGTTCCCCAAAATGTTGACCCAGCGTTTCAAAAGGCCTAGCGGTCCGTTATAAGTTCATCGCAAACTTTGTACAACTATATTCATAGTGTCGTATGCATATGGTTACTTATCAAATTTATAAGCGTTTCGAATTTCAATCGCTTCGAACTGGAAGCATTCCGAGTTTGAAACATTTGAAACTTGAAGCATCTCGAGCCATTTCGAATCTCTAACGTTTCTAGTTTGACGAGTTTCAAGTTTGATGCATTTTCTATCCGAAGCGCTTCGAGTTTGCAGCATTTCGAGCTTGAAACATTCCGAATTTGAGGCATTTCGAGATTGAAACGTTCCAAGCTTGAAGCCATCTTTAAGCATTTTGAGTTTGAAGCGTTCTCAGCTTGAAATATTCTATGTTTAAGACGTTGCGAGCTCGAAACGTTCCGAGCTTTAAACATATAAATACATTTCTTTTGGTCTCTACAATTTTGGAACCGGGCCTCGCAAATATTCGCGCCGGCCCAACACTACTATTATTATTACTATTGTCATGTCACTTTCTAGCTTTGTTGCCGGACTGAAGTGTTATAATTAGACTGCATTTTTCATTTAATAGGTGGTTTGCAATCAGAGCGTCGTCAGTCCAAACATTTACGTCGAATAATCATTGTTAGTCTTATTTCTATCTTTCCCGAATACACATTTGATGCAGATATCGTTGAAATTTAAATAAGAGAAAGATGTTAAATTATATTTGTCATATAAGAATTGTGTTGTATTTCTGATTAATTCAATAATGGAATTGTACGCGTTAAAATGTGTATTCGTATCTTTGTTTTTATTTTATCGAAGGATGATAATGATTTGATTCATTGCCTCATTGCGAAGAATGAAATATTAATTTGAATATAATATTCTTTGTACGTGAAACACATTATATAGTGACATTAGTGTAATATTTAATGGGTATTTGTGGTACATATTTACGTATTTTGCTTGTTGCCTTTTTATTATAAACGAACACAAAAAAAAAAACTGAATAACATAACGTATAACTAATAATTTAATCACGATATTAGTAAACGAACGCATCGATCAGCATATCCCAATTTTCATCCGCAATTTCATGTGCGATATTGTACTTCAACTTGATTAATTTATTTTCCCACGTGTTAAATATAAAGAAATTCAGCCGAGAACAAAGGAAGAAAAAAAAAATAGAAAAACGTACGAATCATGTATAATATCGTCAGTATTATTTCTCACGTAACGAACTACATTATTATAATCGTTTTTAATTGATCATAGACATTAAATCGATGAAAAGGAAAGTCTCTTTTATCTTTATCAATAACATTTTGTTCCTAGGATTATCATCGATACAATTATGTCTGTCATTCTCTGACACTCACCGTTCATTTTCGTAGAATGACAAATAAATAATTATATTGATTATTCTTTGAATATATTCATCTAATACATAGATCATCACATAATATTACCGTGTCACCATATTTTTAAACTTTCCCATCTTCCTCGAGGAAATTAATACAACACCGTATTCTTTAAAATTTTATTTTATTTTTTTTAACATTGTTACATTTTTGAGGTAATTTTAATGAATACGTGGGGTGTACGGGATAATTTTTTATGGTTACCTAAAGGCGCGAATTACTTTCGAGAATTTAAATTTCGGGACTGAACAGCAAACTTCAAAGCGAGATCGAGAGAGGTCAGGTAAGATCTCAATACAAATGTATAGAAGAAAAGTGTCTCACTTGTCAAGAGTGTCTCAATTTTTAGAGATCAAATAGTTAATTAAATTTCAAAATTTAGAAATTTTAAATCTACCTATAAAATAAAATTAGTAGAAATTGTAGATTTTATCTGTGAACAAAGTTTCGGGGAATGTACCTCAATCACATGACCTCAAATGACCTTCAAAAATATTCCGCAACACGACTTCGTTTTTCGAAATGAAACTTGACCAATCGTTTTAAATCTTAAAGAATTCTAAGCCTGATAATTATATTACGAATATTCATACAAATATGCACTGTTATTTTTCGCGCCATAGGTTGTTATCTCTGAATATTTTAGGTTACTTCGTTATTAAACGGCGCGTACCTTTTGTATATTTTTATACGTGATAAATGCGGCGAAATAATAAATCCCGCTTCTATAAACCTGATGGTTTCTCGAGGTAGTTAACGTACACTTCCGACGATGACTGCTGATTTTATTGCTCGTAAACTCCAGATTTAACATTCGCGTCCCGGGATCGTGTTACTAAAGTCGATATAATTCGATTTTGCGAATGAACTTAACCAGAAACTGGACGAGGTATTTACCGATGTAGTTATTTTAAAAATCTGGAAGTTGGGCGATTTGGGAATTTGAAAACTGCCAAGTTTATACATTTGATCTTTTAGAAGATACATGGTGTGGTAATCCTTGCAACTTATCTATATCGAGAGGAAGCCTATTGCACTCGAGTGTACGATATGTACATCGCTTTGAATCAACAGACGACCACTACTGGTTATAACAGCATTTATATACGAAAACTTTGACGAAATGGACTCTTACGTACTCACACGATATTCCATCTATGATCTGTGTTACGATCACCGAAAGAAGAAACAAGTGCTGCGACCCTGAAAGACTTAAGAACCCCTCTACCTTACATACACTATCGTTATTAGCCTACGTAAAAATAGTAATATGACCAATCGTCACTTTGCTTTCTATAGAATAACATTGTATGTAGTAGTGTGTTCAGCTCGTGTTCCTTTTACAGGCAATTTCCTCGACTCCATATAACACGACGCTGTCACTTTACGACTGAATAAACGTAATTCGATGAAATTTACGCGGAAGGCTGCTGTTATCGAAAAATATCGACATGCTGCGATATTTTTAAAAGGCACCAAAATTAAAGAAAATATTCTTGCTTAAAATCGGACTGGGTTCAAACAGAAATAAATGCGATAAAATGCAACAAAATCAGGTTAGGATTAAGATTAAAGGTCAAATTAGGTTATAGTTGTAAGTTATGTTGTTGCAATAAGGTTAGAATTAAGTTAGATTTGTTCAAGTAAAATTAAGTTTAAAACATAGTAGATTTGCATGGTAAAAATACGCATTTCATGACTCATTCAACTTTTTGCAAATATGAAACGATATCAGAGCAGACAAAAAATGCAGCTACCGAAGACGTGACTTAATGTAAATTTCATGCAAATACATTCATCAGTAATAAATCGTTTAACATAATTCAAGAATGATGTATTCTATAGTTTTCATTACTGCCACTTACCTTTTCAGCAAGTAATAAATACTGTGAATTATACAAAAGATTAATCAATGATACCTTGCTGAAATTATTTAAAATTTACACTTTATACGAACATCACAATATATTTATACGTATAATTGATATGCAACTTCCGAGAGTTGTAGAACCCAATAAAATCTTCGTCCGCGAATAATTATATTAAGAAAAAAATTGACAAAGACCAAAATGTATTCGACGTGTTACTGCATGCGATATATTAGACGTGTTTGGGCTCCAATAAACAATGTTTATTTGGTATACGTGTAGAGCCTTTTTTAAAAACACAACTGCGTACATATGAACAAATTATAGTTAACTATTAATTCTAAATACGCGATGTATGTATTTCAGTGGTTTTCTTGTTCTTTCTCTACGAGCGTCTTTTTCTGTTTCTTCCTATTTTCCTATACATTTACATTAAATACACGTAATACATTACCAACTACCATTAATGTTATTATATATGTATATATGTATATTTATATTTGTTTTTTTTTTTTCGTTTATATATATACACGCACACACATATATATATACATATATAAACGAAACAATACTGCATTTTATTTTCACATCGTAAAAAGTTACTTCGGATACGTTGGAACATTATTTTATAATCTTACCTTTTTACGACATTTGTCTCTACTGATCCCTTAACAACAGACTTTCACCACGAAAATGACAAACACACAAACGGTTATTTCGAGCATGACTTAAAAGTATCGTTTCCAGTTATATATTTTTTCTCTTTCTTCTTTTATTTCTTAATGCGAATCCTGCTTATCCGTGTCGAGGACACGTGATAATCCAATTAAACGTAAAAAGAATAACATGTCGCTAAACGTACACAGCGAAACTATGCATGTATATAGGATCTAATTTACTGCAGCGTTTTCCAAACCACGCGTTTCCAATTGCGTCACGTCAAATTTTCGTCTAAACGAGGGCGGAGCCAAAGGGTGGCTGATGGAGGACAATGCATAAGCAATTTTTCTTTCTGTATTTAAATATTAAATATATACATATACTTTTAATAAAATAAATCCAACAGAAACAAAATTTATATGACGTGAAAAAATGATTAAAATGTATAATACTGTTATAACCAGGTTAAAGAAATATATCAATAACTAGATAGATACATTGTACCCCCACCGAGCAAGTCTTAGGTACGCCCCTATATCTAATCCAACGGGTGACCAAGCTATGTTTCCTGTTAATCTATGACTAATTTATAGTTTGGAAAACACTGTTTATATATATTATATTTTTACTATACATGAACAACACGATTAATTACGAGCGTCTCATAATCTTCGTTTCGTAATGAAATACCTATAAAAAAGCTGACCAGCAGTAAAAGCGCGAATATTTAAAAACTAATTTCCGATAATCCAACCTTGCGATATATAAACTGAACGATTATCGCTGGAATACAAATATAATACAAAATAAACTAATCACAGACAACCGTGTCTCGATATTTCTTTTTCAAGGTATTTACAGAGTCTCCGCAAGATTGATGATAATTAAAAACAATATTTGCTAATTACTCGATACACACACGCCGCTAAAACGATCTCTCGATCGAAACTTGCCCGTATCTTTTTTTTTAAATTTTTTTCCTTTTTTTGTAGGTTAATGTAACCTTTTCGAAGCAACATATACGTATAAGATGCGCGTGTAATTTCCAAGAATGACCTGAATTTACCCCGGCTATGCACCGTATGTATGCGCATGTGTATGTGTATATGTTACGTGTACGTATGTGTGCACGCGCGACCACGCTCGTGCCTATCTATACAGGTGTGTGTGAGTGTGTGTGTGTGTATATATGCGACGACGCACAGATAAGACTCGCCTATCTGCAGCCAGAGTTTGGTTACGTAACAAGTATGCATTCCCTTTTGTGTACGCTGTTTTAACAGCAATTTTTCTTCAATGTTAATTCAATTATCAACGTTTGCCGAACACGTTACGTAAACAACGATCGCACATTCACAAGCGAGGAACAAGTATGTCGAGATTGCATCGACAAAAAAAAAATGAAACGCATTCGTTTCGTCGTTGTAGATCATTGTAATTCACAAACTTGTAGTAAACTTTGCGAATTTACTGGAGTTATCTGTGACAGGGACAACGATATGCCTCGTTCGCTCTAAACGAGTGCGAAAACTGAACGAACACCCTCACTTTATAACTCTACTTTTCCATAGCTTTTGTACTTTAGGAGTTATTGCAGAATGTTTCACACCCTGAGCACGAACCAGGTATGTCGTTCTTGCCATTGCAATCTCAATAAATCTACAAAGTTTCAAATTCATGAGTTTCGATTTTGAGGAAGTTTCTTCCCTGCTCTGTGTTCTTTCCCTTCAAACAGACTGGCAGATGTGGTACGGTCAGGTGCAACGTAGGCTTCTCTTAATTAAGAGGACTTAAGAGGGAAGGTCTTGGGTGTAATCTTAGATCTTAGGTAGATTCTAAGAACATCCTACGGAGAATCTTGGAACTTTAGATCCTTCGAAAAATCTTAAGGGAAATCTTGAAAAATCCTAGAGCTTTGGTTCCCGGAGTGGAACCTTGTACCATCTATTCCACACGAATAAAATTAATGCCCCACTGACTCCTCTTTTACTTTCACTTAATTAAAGAAGTCTAAATGCACATGACTGTACAGGCTAAAATCTACGCGTGTCTGCCACAATCTATCCGAGAGGAAGGAAGATAGAGTAGGGGAATCCCAGAGGTTCCCTCGGACATCTCCATAATAAATTAAGCTAAAACATCTGACGGATTAAAGATTGACTTATGTACTATGGCGGTTCAACGTGTGCGTGTATTTTACTGGTGGGAGGACACGTATAAGAGTGATGGAGAGGAGAGGCAGAAGAACGATGGAAGGAATGGAAGACCGTTCTACTAGGGGACTGCTAAGTCTGTCGTTTACACTGCTGCAATTTTATACCTTTTATATTTGCGAATAGATTATCGGAGTATTTTCAAGTTGTAGTGATACAAAAAGTAAAGTATCAAAATGAACGACGTTGGCGTAACTAGGATTTTGTCTCGGGTGGAACATCCTTTTTATTAAGGTAGTGAATATTTTAGGAGGCCACACCGGTTATGCTAATTATCCCTATGGACATCGGTCAAAACCATTTTGTATCTTCGACTGTCGCAGTTTACGACTCATAATTTCCTGGTAATTCTACTCTGAACATAATGTGCAAATTGCAACTCGAGCATTATATAAACATTGCACAATCGAAATTGCGAGTCACGAATCTATAGGATGAGGTTTATGAAAAGAAAAACGAATTCAAAGCCTCCAGTTTTGTACTTATGGTAAATATAGTAGATGACTCAAAGAACCGGCAAAGATTCTTTCCACTCAACGTACTTATCTCGCTTGATGCATAACCGACAATTATGCAAAGCAAATGACATTTTAAATGTTGCAGGAAGTATTTGCATGGAAACTAGGATGCAGGACGATAAACAAGAAGGTAATTTGATATTCCTTTTGATAGTTAGCACGGGTTAGGAAGGATTTCTATCGTGACATGTTACAGGGTAGTTAAAAAGTGCGAGTAAAGTTGTTTAAGGGTTTATTGTCATGGGAGCTGACAGTAAGCTCTTTGCACGAGTGTGTACAGCCCTCTCAATCGGCCACCATATTTCCTTCCAGTAATACTGTCACGATCGAGGACAAGAAATTTTCCCAATCTAGTTAATTGCGCAAGGTTTATCTATCGATGAAACGAAGTTCACCCGTAGATAATAAATTAAACGAAAATGGAAGAGAAATGAACTTTGGAAACGTTTGTAGGTACTATTAGAGCTGCGTCTACACTACATAACAAGACAGCGATATAAAACAAATTATTATATAATTCTGTTGTACAATATATTTACTATAACTCATTACAAAATCATTTTCAACGAATTTTAACATTCGGTTCTCTTAAATATATTAATCTGATAATTTTATAAATTGTTTGCTTTTTTGTAAAGAACGTTAACAAACATTTATAAAATGATATATATTACTCTTTACAGGACTATGAGTAACCTATTTACAGCGAATAAAATTAGTCTATCCGTTTAAACTGTAACAAATTTAAGGATTCAATAAATATACAGTTTAAAACAAAGCGACTATACTAAAGTAGAAGAAGCTAATATCAAAACTTTTTTGATCCCTGTATATTGGAGAAGTTCATTTGTGCACTGTCAGGTTATCATAATGTTATGTAATATTATCTTCTATTAAGTTTCATAACCTTGCTATATAACGTGATATGTTTTATAGCGTAGACACAGCTTCACAAGCAAGAAGCAAAAGCGAGCCAGGGAGTATAGGTGGTAAATGGTATCCTGCAATGTGAGAAAGAAAGAGTGAGAAATTGTCACTCTAACGCTTACATTGAAGAAGATGCAAGTTCATTTTCCCCTTCCCTTTCTCCTCCTACTCCCACCATCGTCATCTTATCTATCTAAATGTGTTACCTATCTTTAATAATGATAATTAAACACCTGCTATCTAATCATAAATTGTGCGCGTGTAATGTATATATCACCCGCCATGCTTTACACTGTACAATTCAAATTTTAGGCTAAAGTAGGTTAGATATTATTACGTATACCACAAACCTTGTGTAGCTAAGAGAAAGTAATCAATGTACAAAAGGTATACGCGAGTATGTGTATGTATATGTACGCCGAGCTACAAAAAAAGAAAAAAATGCACGAGTGAACAAAGGAAATATTAAGAGGAAGTAAAATAAAATACTGTGAGATATGCTATCTTCCATTCTTACCGGAGGACCGAGTTATCGTTAAACGTAAAAAGTGATACTGATCAACAATTATATTACAAAATAATTCGTGTTCAACCCTTCTATTGTGTTCGGGTTTGTACGACCCGATTCTGATCCTTGTGATAACTCTGTTAAGGACATATTTGCCAACTTCGTTTGTCTTAGCGTAAACGCTTTTGTCATAATATTTGAATAAATGTGACTGAAAACTTTATGTCACCGACGATTAAAGTCGCTATCGGTGAAGTATCAAAGTCGTAGCACAAGTATTTATCGGTGACTGACAGAATAATTCCGTTGATAATCTATTTTTCCATGTACAGTGGAGTTTCGTTGTATAACCTTGAATGGAAATAAAATTGCAGAATAGACTGACAGATGTCTACAGTATACTGCTCGAATACTAAAGCAATGTTACTAGTTTGCCATAAAAAATTTTGAGCTTATAAATTTAGTCCAAGGGCCATATAGCGAAACTATACTGTGTATAAGAACTCCTCAATTATACAAAAAATAGTTCAACCACTCCTCAGTTAACTAACGAATAAAGCAAACACTGCATATTTTTTGAACAGCGATATAATTTAGCAGTAGTTAAAGATAGTTTATCAAACGTCACTGATAACTCCTTTTTTTCCATAGAATGATCTAACTATCGAAGAATCAACGTTCCCTTGAAAATAACAAATATAAAATCCATATTTTCAACGTATCATTGCACCTAATTTTCATTTCAACGAACGACGAGAATTTAATTTAAATTTATCAAGTATTTAATACTGTCAGTTGCAAAGCAGGTTTAGGTTTACTTATCTTGGCTGGTGTATAGAGATCCCATAGAGAACAGAAGATTTATAGACTAAGAATGGACATAGAGCAATGCTATCTCTTCGAGGGTTTTCATCAAATTTTCCGACTAACCAGATTCGATGATAGGATCTGAAATATGGTAAACGGATAAATCGGTACCAGTTGA